AGGATGCTGTGCCTCAGTGCCCCTCACAGGCCAGGCTGGTCTGAGTATGAAAGGCCCCAGGGTGCTGCTCCTGGGGTCTTCTTCCTGGCCACACTCTGAGGAGCGGGCAGGGCAATCCAACAGGGCATCCCTGGCATAGCAGGAACATGCACTACTGGCTTATGTTAATCCACAAACTAGGAAGGCCTAAAAGAAGCAACGAAGTTGCCTTGGCCATCTCTGCATCTCTTGCGAAGGCCAGCATCCACATGTGCACATTTCCCCCACCTCTTTCAGGTGTTCACYTGCCTTGGTGGCTGCATTTTCAACATAAAAAGAAGAAAATGCCTCAGCTTGGCAAAGACAGAGCATTGTCTGGGCTCTATGCAGTGGATGGTGGATGGTGGAAAAGGTTTGCTAGAAGTCCCTATCTTCTCCCATAGCTTCACATATGGGAAGAGATTACAGCACTGAGTTCACGCYTGAGTTCAAGACATGTTTGGACTGTGTGGCTGTGACTCTTGGGGTGTCCTGCACAGGGCCAGGAGCTGGACTTCATGGTCCTGATGGGTCCTTTCCAACTTGGCATRTTCTGTGATTCAACTGCATCCTTCACACATGCCCARTGGCTGKCTCTCCTCCTCAGCAAACAGAGAAGKMACTTTTTTTTGAGACTACACCATGYATTTGGAAGCCTCATCTAACAGYGCTSTSAAACTGGTGTGTTTCACACAAAGCATTAAGCAGCAGCAGCCTCCAGSACSACGCATGGCCTCAGCTCCTGGACTRCCTGGATGGGGAAGGGAGAGAGACTTTGCTGCTGCATCCCTGTGCCAGAATGGGGGCAATGATATGGGATGAGCAGGTGGCTACTGGGCATTCCTGTCCTGCTGCTGAGCTGTGCTGGGCAAAGGCAGTACTACACACACCCAAATTATTTTCCCCMCTATGGAGACCAGGAGCGTAACATTTGCTGTGCTAAAAGGCCCTCAGATTAAAGGGGGTTTTTCAGACCCACCAAGAACATAGTAAAAATTAAGTTTACTGAGTGGTTATTCAGCATCATCAGCAAAATTACTAAATAGCATCTGACTCCAAGACTCCAGCACCTTATCAGTGTTTGAACTGGGAAGAAGATGGGGTAATTTTCAGATCCCAGTACTGGTAGAAAAAATCCTACTCTGAGATGCAAACAGAGCAAATTTGGTACTGGAGCCACTGGCTAAGCATGGAAATTATGCTCTCAAAAGCTATTCCTACAATCAGCCAGATCACAGCCACACTTTAATGCAAGCACACTGCAAAAATAGAGGGGCATTGACTGAAGATCTTGTCTCTTCCTCCTTTAGGAAATTGCAAACTTCCATTTCTTTAATCTAATCATTTGCAGCAGGAGATACTTTCTCTAGAAAAGCCAATATAAGAGGGCTGAAAGGTCGGATGGGATAATATGTAATCCAATGCGATAAGGGCTGTTTACGGAATTATTAATCAAACACAAAAGGGAACAGATAGTAACATTTTTTATTAAATATTACAGTGGATCAAAAAGTACAAAATATCTTTTGCCTGCTATGTGATTGGGAAACTATTGGCACATAATACAGTATCAAAAGCATTAATAAGTACAATTTGGAAAACATACAAAAATTGAGTGTTTATAGTTGGCTCAGCTTTATTTCTGGTAGTGTTTAAACTAACGCAAAGGTTACTCAATAACCTTTTAAATGGGAACTATATAATATTACTGGGCCATTTTTATATATACAAATCATCACCTTACAGAGCATATAGGCTACATAACTTGAATCACAAAAAGTATACAATATTTACAACAAAAGAAAGTTAAAAAAGTATAAACAGCTAGTAGATTATGCTGCCATTATTAGAACATATTTAAAACTGCGGGGCTGGGGGGAGAGGGGAGGAGGAGGAAGAGAACGAGCGAAATATCAACCACACGTACAGCAAACAGCGCTCACGGCAGCGCTGCCAATGCCACCCGCCTCACACCAGTGCAGGAAGTCCCACTGCTCATCAAAATCACTACAACTGCAAAACTGGACCAGACATGACCTCACCGATCACCGCAAAGGAAGTGAGCAGGCGGTCGGGGCAAGGGACCCCCATGGTCGTCTCTGGAGGCAGCAGCCCCATGTCTCCCCAAATGGGGCAGAGGTGCTGGCAGAGGCAGCACAGCACTTGCCTCTAGCTTGAGCTCTAGCCACTGCCGAGCCAAATTCTCTGCTGCTGGGACAAATGATGTCCCAGGCACCAACCACGGGGCAAGCTCTTCACACCAGGCCAGCTCACAGCCAGGACAGACCTGCTGCAAGCCGCTGGCCTGCTCCCGCCCTGCCTGGCCAGGGGCACAAATCACACCGGCAACCAAGCCCTACTTCCCATGAGCTTCGCAATGCCTGGCTCAGAGAGTGGCCAGAAGCTACACACGAGCCGTTTGCTGCTGGGCCTTTTCCTTTGGATCTCACAACCTTTAGCATCCCTCATGCATCCTGGACATAGTGCGTTTGAATTGCAACATTTCTTGGAACTGGCTCCTAGTAAACAGATTTATGATTCTATTGCCAATTAGATTCTGCAGTTTCCTTTACAAACCTACCAGTAACAATGGTCTGATTGCACAAAGAAAGGCTTGTGCAATTTCATTCAATAATAAGGCCCCTTGAACTCAAACAATGCAAACAAAGCCCCATTTAAGACATTGAAGAAAAAAAAGACTTTTCAGCCAATGACGAATTCAATAGTCTGTTGAAAGATTTCCAAGATTTCTGTTAAAAGAGTTCTTAAACAAATAATGCATCGCTTCTGTTGGGGGTTTATGCCACCATTTCCTTTCCTTCACCCTGACAGTTTGCCCAGTATATTATGAGCTTCCCCAGCCAGCAGCGGCCAGTCTCCTCGTGGGGCAAGCGAGGAGCCTTCCTCCCCTCTCCGTCCCCCAGCCCTGCACTGCCTCAGCATGGCTCCAAAAAGGCCTACCAGCAAACTCCAACAGGACATAACCAAAAGGGACATTGGACACTTTGCGTAAACAAATGCACAACTCCAGGACACACGACTTAACCGAAACAAGGAGAAGCATTTGCTTTGCCAAACACATGACAAGCTTCTGTTTGCGTTTGCTGTAGATTTTTATATTCTCTCCCCCTTGTCCCCCCGCCCTCCTCCCCCCCATCCCCAAACCCCTGATTCTTATGTGATTCAGATCTAGTGCAACTTTACTAGAGATGTCCTCCACACTGTGGCCTCTGCCTGGATGAGCCTGTGGTTCTGTTTCCTGTATGACTTGTGAAGCAGCAGGATMCTCTGCACTGGCACATCCATGTTCCAAGTTCTACTAGTCTGTTTATCAATCAATTAAATATAGTTTTACCACAGAATATAAAGTATTTAATTGAAGAAGCTGGATTTTTAACAGTAGACGACTATATTATTCTGGTTTCCACCTTTGGATATTAAGAATGATACATTATATATTGTATTTGGCTTCATATCACGGGAAAATTTAATGACATGCCTAGCATGCAAAGTGTTTCTTAGTAGTTTCTATTTTTTCTTTTCATATCGAGTACACTGTCTTTGAACAGTAACTGAGATGGTTTGAACCACAACCAATTTTCACATTGTATAAAGCCTCCAAGTCACACTTCGCTTTTTCAATGTCTGTGCTCAGCTGCGTGGTGGAGACGTCCTGCAAAGTTAATATACATCCACAAGGAAGCTCCTTCATCAGGAAAATCCAGCCTCTCCATGCCTGGGCTTTCCCCCTGCAAAAGGATGCCCAGGGAGAGACTGAGATCCCCRTGGAGTATGGAAGGACCATCCCAACCTCTGCATGGAACCCCCTACCCATGGTGAGGCACAGGACCCAACCCATAAGCCTCTGATTCAAATCCACACTGGTTCCTCTTACAGCTTCTGAAATTCTCAACATCCTCACAAACCACAAATCCATTTTTTGCACTCCTTTGTCATCCAGCAGCTTGTGCCAGGGAGGTTTTGTTTTCTAGACCATTTCTCTGTAGGCAGGAGGGTTTCACAGCCTAGGTAAGGTTAAGTACAACGCTCGACAAATTCACAGACCACGATACAGGAAAGCAAAGCTCGGTGGGAGGGGAGAAGTGGCATAGGAGCCATCGCAACAACAGGAGGAGGGAGAGAGGTGCTCAGCACCTCACAGGGGAAAGGAACCTTGTTCGCATCCTTGCACCATAACATCACCTACAGTATGTTTATAACCATTAAGATTAATCTGAACCAGTTGCTTCAGTTTGTAAACAGTAAACGTTACCACAAAACAAAACAAAAATGCTGCTCAAAAGTAACTGGAAAAATTACAAACACATCATAAAAAAAAAATTAGGACAGCCATAGCCTTTAAAAAAGTTGCAGATAAAATGATACTGTTTAATTTAAAAAAAAAAAAAAAAAAAWCAAAAAAAAAAAAAAAAAAAAAGGAACCCAAAACAGAAAAAAAACAAAAAAACAAACATAAAGAGCACAGAATATACTGGACAAACGAAACTATATAAATTATTGTGACCAAATGTGACACTGGTAGTTTACGAAGTGGATATGTACAGTCAAATTAAACAGTGTTTACCCTTCTGTTCTAATAGTGTTAAAATGAAAAAATCTATTGCCGTTTTACTATACATTGCATTGATTGAATCTTTTAAAAGTCAGGAAAAGTTACCCAAAAAAGCACATCCACTGATTGTACAGATTCTCAGCCCACTTCTCCTCTCCAGGTTCACCACGAGTCCTTGACTCATTTGCAACAATGCATGGCCTCTGGTCCTCGGCTCAGTGAAAGGCAAACGCAGCCCTCACCAGGGTTTCAGTGAGCTCAGGACTGGACCTGCGTTTCCACGGCTCCCTTTGAACATCTGCTCTTACCATATTCAAGTCCTTTCAGAAAACACGTATGGAAAATCCAATGATTTTTTTCTTTTTTTCTGTGTTTTTCTTTGTCTCTTTTTTTTTTTTTTTTTTGGTGGTTTTTTTTTTTTTTTGTTTTTCTTTTTTCTTTTTTTTTTTTTTTTTTTGGTTTGGTTTTCTTTTTTGCAAGGGCAGGGATAAGGGGTAAGGGGGCTGATGTGGGAGCCAGAATTAAAGATGCAGTCCTGTCTCCATCAAACTCTGAAGCGCTCCTCTAGGTGGGATAYGACTGCATCCTGGTTGACAAAATACAGATTGCTAAATCTGTGAGACATCGTCACAGGGGGAGGAATGTCGCCAACGAACTTTTCTCCTCGGACCTTTTTTTGTGAGCGAGGGAGTTTACAGTTTTGTGCTGGGATGTACAGAGGATAKCTGGGAAGGTGGGAATGCAGCTTGAGGGTTTATAGCAGCTAAAGGATAAATGCTGTTATGCAAAAGGTCACCGTAGGAACTTCCTACAGGTGTTGCTGCAGCTAAGTGTCTGTACAGTTGCTGGGAGTTTGCAGGGGAYGTGAGGAATTGTCTCTGCACCATAAAGGAGTGAAGAGCCAAAGGCTGCATTAGTGGGGATAGCACRGTCTGATTTTTCAAGTACTGCAGGGGATGAGAATACCCAGGCGGAAGGCGATTGTTCAGCCCTGTGCACAGGCTTCCYGGATACAAGCCTGGGAAGATGGGGGCTGACAGGGGAAATTTGTGGCTTTCCAGCATGCTGCCTGAATGGAGGCCATGCACTGACTTGCTGCCTTCCCCCTCTGGGTCGGGAACCTTGTCTTTCGCCGGGGTCTCCTTTGGTAAGTGTATAGGAGAGACAGCTCGGATTTTTTTTTCAGAAATGACTTTGTCCAAATCCTCCAGGCTCCGTTTCAGAGGCCGGGCAGTCCCCACGTTTTGAGGGCTCGTTCTCCGGCTGATGATAGGATGCACCATCCCCTCCATCTTCCTCAGGTTCTCCAGCCTCTGGGCCTGCTGCTTCCCAGACCTATGGAGCAACTCGCTGTGTTTTTTCGGGGCTGTCATGGCCATGGGGGACACGCGGCAAGCTTTGGGGTTACAGTCTAGGCTCACCGCCTGGCTGCTCGCAGACTGGAACGGGGAGATACCTTTGCATTCTTGCTGGGCCATGGATGAGTGAGTGAGGCTGGAGCCCGRAGCCTTTGCAGTCTGTTTGTGTATGCTCTTTGGAAGACTCAAATCTGTTGGCTGATCATCTGAAGAAGCCTCCACTGTTGCCTTTTTTTCTTGCTGATGCAAAGATGGGCGATAATTTAAATTTAGTTTTTCCTGGTGTTTGTGTTGAGTAAAAGTAGAAATATTTTCAGACTCTCTGAACATGTCTCGGGGGAGGTACTTTGATGTCTGTTCGTTATTAAGGTGGTGTTCTGTGTGCCTATAAAGGCTGTGCAGATGAGGTGATGAATAAAAATCTGCCAAGAAAGTGGGCACATGGGAGTGCTGCAGTGCCCTTTTCTCACTCATTTTATCTTTGCAGTCCTGGATATCCGACTTGGGTAGGTATGACTCGGCAAGAGAACTGAGGTGGTGTTTTGAAAAATCACAGCGCTGAGGATCCGGTTTACTTAGCATGTCATGTTTAAAAATATCATTAATTGACTTCCTTTCTTCCTTGGTTTTAAAACTCTGTACATGCTGTATGACTGAGGGCCTATTAATTGYTACAGGATCAGAATTAGGGGCATGGGAACCTTGCGATATGCCTGAGGACAGTTCATCTCTGCTGCTGAGTTTCTTTTTGCTGATCAAAGGTGGAGGAGAACCGTAAGGATAGTTACATGAGAGCGCTGCCCCACTGACCTGTGACAGCAGCTTCTTCTTTGCCAGGGGTGACATGATGCCTGGATTACCTTTTGAGTACAGCAGTGGTGTGTAACTGAAAGTGGAGTCATCGTTCATAGACCCAGGCAGCTCCTTYTCCTTGAACATATCGAAGTTCTGCACCACCAGTACTTTGGGCGTTTGCTTTAGTGCGTTGTGTATATCTTCATTTCCCAGCTGGTCAACTTTCACTGTGCAGTTTGCGATGTAATCGGCCATCTCTGGCAGTTTCTCATCTTCCATGTCGCTCTGAGCAGGCAGATGGACTGGGAAGGTAGTGAAGGGCATTTCTGGGGGTTCACTTTCTAGGCTATCAGTATAAGCTTTGTGTAGCCTTTGTTCAGGCTTTGTATCTTCCAGGGCATCTGTTGCGGGGTGTAATCGTTTTGTGACACTGGCATCCAGCACAGTGTCTTCTTCTGGGGGCACGGATGTACTTGAGAAAGAGGACGAGTGCTGAACCTCCTCCTTGGCTTTCTCACTGTTGGTGCTGTTTTCTGTCATGTCTGTCTTCTCCAGTGTCCGAGCTGTCTCTGGTGAAAGAGTTGGAGGGCCTTGCACAGGTTGTTTTGTCTCTCCCACTGTAGGGTGTTCAGGGATGTTTTTCTGGTCAGCCGATTCTTGATCCTTCTCTTGTTCTGATGAAACCTAATGAAATGATTCAACAGACAGTRGTAAGAACGCAGGGTGTTTGGGCAGCCTGTTTACAAGGTTATGCACAGTAYACTGTGGCCTACTTTTAGAGGACTWGCCARCCACCTTGCTGGCACGTGMAGATTTTAACATCAGGTATTGGAYTCAAACAAAGAGAAGTATCTCCTGAAAATACTAATAAATACACCATCCCTGCCAGAGTCACAATAAAGCATTTCAAAACAGTAGATGTTTGTAAGCTGATGAGAGGCACTGGTGGTTTGACCAGATAGCTAAATGCTGAGGTTATATACTCTTTTAAAATTATTTAGGCAAATGCAGCCGAGCAGATTTCATAACAGAAATGATAAGACTATAGAAATTTCTCCTACTAGCCAATTTCACCTAAGAAAAACACACTCTTCCTATGCTTCTCCTTCCCTAAAGTCTCTCTAGCACAGCTATCTTAAAATTCAGTGATCACAGAGAAGATCATTCACACCCAGTTCTGCATTAAAGTGTGAAAATGATAGAAATGGCATACTAGAAATCCCTATTGTAGGCAGCAAATCACTGCCACAGCTTAACTAGGACACACATTTTTTTATTAACGGATTAAAATGAAGTTGTCAACATTCAGTAAGTGTGTGTGCCTGCTATTACAAACATGGCTTTTATACGTTCWCGTCAATGGGACCGCGGCTCGTTCTGCTCCCCCATTAATACAGCTTGTGTGCACAATTCACACTATTCATCCCATTATGTAGCTGGCTGAACTGTGACCCGCACAGGTCACCAGAGCGTCCCATCTGTGATCCAGCTGACTGACAGCCCTTTTCAAAACTGCTGTCACTCTCCTCTGACATGTCGTGGTAGAAGACAGTCATAAAACGGCAGCATTGTGCGACTYCTTTATTATTATTGTTTTCTTTCTTCCTTCATTGTAAAGATAAGACACATCGAGAAAGTTATCATCTAAATGCTGCTTTGTGGTCTGTCGCAGGAGCAGGGAATCGGAGACGGTCCTAACAAATCTAACCCTCTCAGAGATTTATTTCTTCACAGCTGCTTTTAAATATTCCTGTCTGTTTGGWTGGCCTATTAGTTACAGTGTCTGTTAGTCATCCTAACTTCTTCTTTTTAAACACATAGCTGTCCTTTGTAGCCAAATACCATCATTAGGTCCTTTACAAAGTACCATCGCTAGTCTCTTGAGCTTATAAAATTACAGGCAAATACCAGACAGATGAGCAAAGCAAGGAGGAGAAAAAAAARGAGAATCATATTTAATAACTGTACATTCTGCTCTTTGTTTCTGTTAAGCAACACTTTGATTGAAGTTTCAKCTATTGTGAGGAAATGTGCAGTCTAAGGCTAATAGCATTTTGTCTGGTGTCTTGTTACACTGACAATGTCATTGCGATGGCAGGAAAACAGTGAAGARCACAAAGGCAAATGCAATCCTAATAAATTAAAGTTATATTCTCACCCTGCATAATTCTAATGGTGCAAGAATTGAACATGCAAYTGCGAGGACCACACATTTGTAACTGGATTACACTTTTCCAGGTCACAGCTACGGCCAGCTTCCAGGCCAAATGCAGAAATGCTGTAAGCGTGCCTACACATTTATGTGGTGGCTGTAGGGCTCTSCCTCAGAGCAATACCCATCACTCCTGTRCCTGGATGGGCGCTYAGGAAGGGRGCCCCACTGCCAGGGCAYGGCTGCGGTGTGAGAGATGTGCAAYCTTCTGCCTGGCTCCACCCAAAGGAGCTGAAGGTCTCCTGCCTTCTACCCCTGTTAAATGCCATGTCCTGGGCATGGAGCCCTCCGTAKGGCAAAGCACAGATGAGTTCTGGAGCCCTACACCCAGCCAGGGGTGAAGCATCCACCCTGCAGCCCCTTCGCTGCTCAGGCTCTGTGTGATCACTGACCCGTATGGTGACTGACATGGAGGTCAAGGTCCTTAATGGCCCACCCTGATCAGATAGGGGCAGGACACATCTTCCACCCCAGTCAGGGAGGAGACATTAATTTTGCTATAAAAGGTACCATTTTACAATAGGAAACTGCCATAATTGTACATTTTTATTGTCTCGTCTAGGCTCCCTACATTTTCGATAAGCGCAGCTTAGGAACTCTTCCTGCAAACCACACAAAAATAACTTCAGTTTAAACAGCAGGAAGTTTGAGATAGGGAACAACAAAAGCAAGGAAATTCAAAGTGAAGGCTGTTGCTCTGTTGCTGACTTGTTATGTTGGGCTTAGCAGCAGTGGTACAGATAGTGTGTAATGTATCTTGCTGATCCAAGACCTTCAATAAATAACTGGGAATGAAGGAATGACAAGGGAAGGGAGCACAAGCTTTCACTTCACTTCTCCTTGCTTTGGGYAATTTGTCTTGCAACCTTCCAGTGACTGAAGTACGTTTGTGTGTACTCTCCTTTTGATTTTTTATTTCATTTTATCCAAACATGGCTCCCCCTACTTGAAAATTACTATGYAAGAGAAAAAGAAAAAAAATTCTGTCTGGGGAGTGCTCTTAAATWAGATATTAATGGTACTGTTGTTCAAGGCAATTTAAAACACAAAATCTTCTTTGGATRGGAGATTAAATTGTCCTTGTAAGCACAACTTAAAGAGATAAGGGGACATGAAAACCAAAATTTTCTGTTCTCAAAACTGGRTACATGAAGTCTTAGAGGCATCTCTATTTACAGGTCCTGCATTGTTTTTTTTAAACAATGAAGAGGAGGATTGTTGATAGCTGACTCAACAAAATTTCCAAACAAGTTCAGAAACAGGACTTCTGTACCTGCCAGACGCAATGAAGTCAAAGGAGCAGCCATAGTCTGCTGGGCACGTCATGTGTTTTGAATACTTACTTTCACTGCAACGCCTTGAAGGCTGCTGTGATCTGGCAGACTGACACAGGAAAAGCAACATGTTTTGCAGGGGTTGTGTGTGAGGAGCTTCACCACCTCCTTCACACGGTGTGCAAGCRGGGCACAGGAGAGAGTGGGCAGGATGTGCAAAGGAACGTGCTTAAATAACCGGAGCAAAAACCCCATTGATTTTATATCACTTAACAATACTTGAAATTTACCCTTATTTGCAGACAAATATGAATTCTTTCCCTGTGCTGTGAACACAGAATCCCTTCCATGAGGGCTGTCCTATGCCTGCAAATAACGTAGGTCTATGTGGAAACTGGGGCCTGCCTATGTGAAGCAGGGTGCCATGATAGGAACCTCTTATGTCTGAATATGAACCTCAACTGAAAGCCATCTGCTGCTCGGGAGAGGAAAGTCGGTCTTGGGGCTTGGAAGGTGATTCCCTCAGAATGTGACCTTTTAGTTCAAAAAGAAACTTAGTATAACATAATAAAAATCCTAGGGAGTAATACGTTTTGTAACAGTCATGCATACATCTGTGAGCACAGAAGGGCTGATCCAGAGGTTACCATTACAAAAATCAGCTGTGTCCAACAGTTACCACAGTATTATCAACAGTATTAGAGGTTCCCGCACCCTATACTTAGATTAGGAAATAACTGTGGTAGTWGTGTGGTTTCCCTTTGGCAGCTGCTGATCTGTTAGTGGTGACCACTGTATAACACAAAGAGCAGAACTGGTACTAGGCAGATCCAGCGCTTGGTCCTGCGCCATCCCCACTGTGCAATATGGAGCTAAYTGGCTGCCATTCGCAGCCCAGCAAAATCCCAGCACAGACAGTATCACAACAGCTGAATTTCCATTGCTGAGCAAACTAAAAGGCCAACTGGTCGGAATTCTCCAGTTTAAATTATATATTTTATCACCGGATTTCATGTGATTAAAGCTGTGCATTTTTAATTGAAAAACTGAAAAGCAGGGAAGCAACCGACCTCAGATGCATCTTGGGGTTTCTGTGAATTATCTTTTTCCTTCTTGCTCTTTTGGTTTTCATTTTTGATGCGTTTTGTTCCAGTCACTTTTGTTTTCGCTTCACCCTCCTGGGAACTGTTATCCTGTTTTCGAGGTTTCACTGGAGGCAGTGGCTTATCTTCCTCTCCTTTAATAAATCTTTCATATGGCAGGATTAATCTAGGGGATTAAGGAACAAATAATTGATCAGGTTTTGCTACTCTAGCAAAGAAAAAAAATGCACCTACTATGAGCAGTTTACTTAATAAATCCATTTTCTTCCATGCCATAAAAGCAACAGTTTAAACTCTACATCTATAAATCCAAGTATAAGAAATCAATTTATTTGGCAAGATTATTATGTGGCATAAATTCAGTGGACTTAGAATTGGTGTGGAGCAGTTGTCAGCRCTCTGCAGTGGTTTGTAGGGCTACACCAATTTGTACCTGATGAGAATATCAGCTATTATGTTTTAGCCTGATTTAAAAAAAGAAAACCACCATTTTTATTTTCCCTTCCCAACTTTAACATCATGCAACAAACCCCAGGAAAACACCTACAAAGCCGCAAGTCAACTTAACAGCTACACCATTTCCAGGCTGGTGGCTCCYTTGAGTGCAAGAGTGCCAGGAATGTGGCAGGAGCCGGGAGAGCTGGGCTGCAGGAACCCTACAGGGGTGGGCACAGCACCCACCACGCYGTCAGCAGCACCAGCCCAGTGCCACCTGTGCAAGGTGCCCATGTAGTGACAATCACCACGCTCCTGCCTTGGCCAGGGAGCCTTTTTAAGGCAAAAGGGGAGAGGAGGAGAGTTAAAAATAAAGGAGTTCTTCACAGTGGAACTATCTACCACAGAGTGAATGAAATTGCTTTAAAAACACAGGGAAGAAACACAAACAAAAAATATCCTCCCCTGAAAGCATCAAACACACCAAGTATTAATGTCTTTGTTTTCCCTTTGCAATTCTTGATCTGAAAGCAAAAATAACTGATATAATTAAAAGGGATGGATTGCATTACAATCTCAGTTTCAACTTCAGTGATTAAAGTTTTTATAATGCATTTTGGTATGATTAATGACTCACTGTGGGATTAATACAAGACTCAGACTTTAAAAATATGAACTTTAATACAGCAAACGTAATTTGTTAAAAAAAAAAGGAAGACAAGTTGACTCTATGAAGAAAATGTACTCTGCTTATAAACAACATAAATCTCCTCAAATACCAGGAATCCTTAATTATCTTTAATCTAAGACTCCAAGGCAGAAACCTCTTTGGTTCAGATATTCGTTTGTTATCCTAGAATCAGTTTCTAAGCATGCAATTTTGATTTACATACTTAGATGTTCAAACACAGTTTGGGCTTAAGAGAGCAGAAATTAGATTGCTCGTGATCATAATATTTTACATTTTAATAAAATACAACATAAATTATGTTAAAATATAAACCTAATTTATGCTATATTAGAAACAAAATTCATTAACTGAGCATGCTCTGACATGGTATGTGCAAAGAGGCGTGAATAATACTTTCTAGCCCTGAATTTGGCAGGGCTCCAGTAATGAAGCTAAGCAGAGCCCACAGGGAATATTCATCTTCAGATCCCATTACAAACTGAGTTTAAACATGTTACAGCTGCTAAAACTGGAAACTGCTCCCTCTATGCAAACTTAGCAAAATAATACATAGTTGCCAAATACCTGCTTCCCACTGTAATATTACAGTTAATGTTTATATAATAAAAAGCATAACTAAGCAGAAGAAGAAAAAAATAATCCTGTTCATACTTGAGGCTGCTACATTTCATTCGCAAAGCGCAAATATTGGTGAAAACACTGAATTCCTCCCCGTGCTGCACAAAGCGCTTTGGACTTCACTAGAGGCAAGGTTGGGTTTCACACAGGGTAGCGCCAAGGCCGCTCTGCCATGTGTTAAATATTTAAAATCGCTTTTAATAAAAACACATTTTATTACTATAATTGTTAGCACTGCGAGGGGAGTGTTTGACTTTGTTTTGTTTCCATGGGAACGCATCACCCATTAAAAATCTACATATTCCATCCGTAAAGGTTTCAGACACTGTCCGGTGCCTCATGGGAGACAGAGATGCTCCCAGCCCCACAAATGAGCCTTTCCCTGGAAGATGCTGAGTGATTAACCCGGTGGCTACGGCCAGGCCGGGAGCAAGGCCCGGGCCGATGCGATTAATCACCGCTCGCGTGCTCTCCGCTGAGCCTTGTAGGGTAACACGGGACTCAAACTCCTCCTCCTGCTTCTGCACCTCACCAGAACCTCATTAGCTTGGGTGCTAATTAGTAACCGTGGCTTAAATTTCCTTTTCTGATCTTAAGGGTTCATGTGGTAGTACAAGGTTTTCATTTTAGTTATTTTTCACTGAGCTCAGCAGTTGGCAGGCCGACAGCAGTAAAAATACATTTCACATAGCCGGTCAGCGGCCTGGAGCCAGCGACAGGAAATCTGGAATTAAATGTTTCGTGTATYGGGGAGGCGGAATGACTAAGGTAAAACTGAGTCAAAACACAAGGATGGCTTGTTCTAGGATTTTCCCCTCCTCGTTTCAAAGGAGGGCCGGCTGAGGTGGCTTTTGGGGGTGGCTGGCGAGGAGCCGGGCAGGAACGCGGGCTGCGAGACCCCAGGGAGCAGCATCGAGCCGAGCAACACCAGCAATTGCCGCTTCACGTAGAGATTTCCGTCGGTTGCAATTTTCACTGAATGTTTTTTCAGTTATCCTGTCATGGTACAACACAATTACCCACAGGATATGATCTTATCATTTGATTATTAGAAGTTTTTATAGCGCAGGAGTAATAAAGCTAATACAGCTCTCGGAACATGTAAGCAGCCGGCTCACATGCCATGAAAGCAGCCGGCTTAGCCAATTTAAGGTCAATATTGCCCAACACTGGAAGAATGCGATCTGCTGTTAGCCAAATAGTTTAGCAGAATGTGACATGTCTGAAACCAACACGAGATTTTTTTTTTTTTTGGTCAAATATTTGCAGTGCAGGTAAGATTTAATCAATCTTTGCGCAAGGAGAGGTAACGATGAGGTCCAAAAAACTGGATCCAGAAACCTCGAATGTATCGTRTGTTGGAAACAACAACCATGTTTTCAGTCGCTTTGAACTGTGGCTGTACTTCCCGACAGGGGGGGAAGTATCAAAGTATTCATAAAAAAGGAAAAGAGGGGGAATATTTTGTGGTCTAAAGCATATTTACTTGTAAAGCCTGCGCGAAGACCAAATAAAAGGGTCTTTATCATGATCAAGATTCCAATATTAAGATTAATAAAATGTATTATTTATAAGTCAATTAACATAAATAGAATATGTAAGCACCAGTGTATTAAAAAAATCTTTCCACAGGCAGCAGATTTTTAGCAGCATGAGGTTTTTTTTTTTTTCCTGGAATAATACAAGAATAACATTTTCCAGCCAAGAGCAGAAACAGTAGGGGAGTCTTTGCTATCACAGGGCTTCTTATTAAATTCAGTCACTGTGAAAAGCCAGTCTCTTTCCTTTTTTTYYTTTTWWTTWWTTTTTTTTTWAATAAAGACAATTTTAAATCAATACAAGTTATATTAACAAATCAGTACTATACTAATCCTGATTTATTACAATCGGCAATATTAAGTTTAATCACRTATAAACTGCTACTCAAAAAAAGATTTTCCTTTAGTAAGTCCTGAATTAAATAATGGTGCAGTGTACTGAGTTTTTAGATCTGCATCATCTGATATTATGAAAAATTCAATGTACTTCTCTGCAGCAGATGTCAGAGGTCAGCAAATCTATTACAGTAATGTAAGTAATCTGGCTTTCTGCCAACCTTTTTTTAAAAAACACTGAAGCAGATAATTTTATATTTACAAATTCTAAAATCCTCCAGGGACTGAATCTCTTTCCCAACAAAAAGCAGAAACTTCACATTAGAGAAATGTATTTCACAGTATATCAAACATGTCTTCATCATTAGCATTKCATAAAAAGAAAAAAAAAACCCCTTAATCTTTATTAGTCAACATTTTGTCTTTTCCCAGCTACAGAACTAACAATACAAGATCTCATCTGAGCCAGTAATATGTATTGATTATGCAGAATGAATGACTTTTTTGGCCCGACTTTGCTTCACAGGACACATGAGAGCACATCTATTAATAGGCATGATAAAAAAAGTAGTTACAATAATGCAAAGGATCTGACCAGCCCAAAAAGAGGAAGGAAATGAAATGTTAAGGCTGCCAGTTTCCTCTTTAATTCTCCCTACTGTGTATGGATATGACGGGACTCTGGGRCTGGGGAGGAACCATATGCCCAGGACACACAGGGTGATGGAGGGAAGGAGGCAGCACGGCACAACCCCACAGTATTTTTTGTACTGCTGTTTCAGTGTTTATTTTTATTTTCTTTCTGGCAGAATAAAATACTTGAGCATGTCTCCCATTGACATCATTGTACTTTCTCAAGGGCTCCAAGCCCAACACAAAATAGGATGCAATGGAGCCTCTCAGCCACAAGAATAATCTTGGAAGGACTTAAAATACTGAAGTCCATTCCTTGGGAGTTGTTGCCCCATTCACATACTTGGCCATGTTAAGGAGACTAATTGCAACAGGAATGAAAAATGATTTAAATTTGCTTCACCAAATGAATACAGCAACYAGTTAACCCATGGAACTCACTGCCAATGGATATCTTGGGGCCAAGGGATTAGTGAGATTATGCAAGGATTAGATGCTAATGTAAATCATGAGAACATTAAGCTGTTAGAGCTTCAAAAATGCTGAAAAGGGACAGGCAATAGGTCTCTTTTCTGGTAGGAATTTGGAAAACGCTTTCCTCCTGAACACATGRGGGCTCCAACTCCTTCCTCGCCAGGCACTACCAGAGCTGGGTTTTCCAGTCCAAGGGGGCACCCATCTGGTCYGAGATGTCCTCAGAGCAGCCAGGCAGAGCTGCCTGCAGCCAGACTGAGTGCAGGGCTGCTACAGCCCCTGTGGTGCAAATGGGCCYCTGTCAGTAAGCTCAGTGAGAGAAACTTGATTCTTTTCCCCTAGAAAGTCAGTGGCAAAACATTCAACTGTTTTAAGGGACCAGCAGGAATGCCCGAGCTCTGATCCCAAGAGAAATCTTGTCTTTTTTACGCTGATCCTTTT